GAAAACTCTTCTTATATTCAGTTCTTCCCTGTAAATTTTACAGGAAGTCAAACTGAGTTTAGACCAGCCTTTGGCTATTAATAAATAGTCAAAATAGAAACATCTTAAAGTTTCTGTAACATGGTCAAATTTTAAAAAGTTCATAAATAGCTTGTAATTGTGCAATTCCTAGCCGTTGTTGTTGTTTTAGGTTTTATTTATACTGGGCGCCGGTTTCCCATATGTCCCAGACTAGTCGGCCTCTATTACGATTGCTGGTCGTAGAGCCTGCAACGGAGGACTTATTCGCCTGCAACGTCGTCAATATCGTAGAGCCGCGACGGAGGTCTTTTCATGCTGTCGTTCCTCGCTTCTTGAACAATGGTTGACAATAGAGGAAAGGCACCTCTTCCGGGAGCAGCAGCTCTCTTTAAGGCCACACCCCTCGCCGTTGGTTAGGTCACACCAGCTAAGTGACCTAACTAGGTCACCCATCTGGTGTGACCTATGCCTTCCGAGCGACGTGCACGGCGCGAAGGGAAGTCGGAAGCTTCCTGGCAGTAACCCAGCCTAAGCATATATATATTTGAGCTAAGGTTTAGTGAAATGATATGCACACACTGCATAGAATCAGAAAGGGGATGGGATTTAAGGGATCATGATATCCCCCTACCCCTGGGATTTTATTATACATAAAATACAATCATCTAGCTATGTTTTTATTTTGAAGAAAATCATGTGAATAATTGACTAATGACTCCATTGGAAAACTGGTAAAATGCCAAACCCCCACAAGAATGTGAATTAGTCCCTTTGTAAAAATGTTGTGACCCTCTAGTAAAATTCTTGAATCTTCCGCTCACATGCATTTATGAACATAAAAGCTACATTACTAGTATTAGTTGCACAGATGGTCATTTAATGGTCATCATACTGCTTTTAATATATAAGAGAGAAGTGTAAATCTGCATTTTCAAGGGTTTTTAATAAGCTAGAGTTCCATGCAAAGTACCTACATTGTAATGAGTTAATATTGTGTAGACCCAAGCAGAATTTTAAGTTTGACAAACAGCTTATTTATTCAAGTGCCATAACATGGCCAAAAATCATTCAACCATAAAACCCATAAAATATGCACAAGAAATTGAGCTACCGATCAATCCTGTAAAGATTCAATGAAATTGCATTATTGGTATAACAGGAGAAGTCCGGACAAACTTTAAAAATTAAAAATCATTAAAGGGCCATAACTCTGACAAAAATTATTTAACTGGAAAATGTTGACAATATGCACATCTAGACTTGGAACTGATCATTCCTGTAAAGTTTTGGTAAAATTACACTAGTAGTTTTTGAGGAGTAGTCAGGACAAATTTTGTGATGGACAGACAGATGGACGGACAGACGACGGAGAAGCAATCACTGTATACTACTCTGTAGAGGTGACACAAAGAGGCAGTAACTCCAAAATTAGGCAAGGCAGAGTTACAGTTCTTTTGCACAGCACTTCTACTCAATGAGATTTATCTACCTACAAAGTTTATTGATGGATACCTCTTGTGGTTTCAGAGTTATGTCACAAAGTTAAAAAATGAACAAAGGGGAATAACTCCAAAATTAGGCGGTTCTTTTGCACTGCACCATGAAATCTATCTACCTACAAAGTTTCTTGTTGATATCTCTTATAGTTTCAGAGTTATGTCCTGGATAAAGTTCAAAGTGTAAAATGAACAAAGGGGCAATAAATCCAAAATTAGGCAAGGCAGAGTCACAGTTCTTTTGCACTGCACTTTTACTAAATGAGATCTATTTACCTACAAAGTTTCTTGTGGATACCTCTTGTTGTTTCAGAATTATGTCTCTGTCAAGAAAAGGAGATGGAAAGACGTACATCTGGACGGATTGACGAAGCAGCGACTATATGCTCTCCCATTTGGGAAGCATAAAAATAATAATTTCTATTTCAAGACAAACTTTGAGACCAATTTCCAGAATATTTGGATCAAAACAGTAGCCACTAGAGTGTTAACAAGATTTTTCTATTTTTAGCTCCTGTGACCTAGTTTCTCATCCGAAATGACTCATGTTCAAATTCACCGAGCAATTACCTAGACAAGCATCCTGGCCAAGTTTGATGACAATTGAGTAAAAAATGTGACCACTAGAGTGTTAACAAGGTTTTTCTATTCTGAGCTCTTGTGACCAAGTTTTTCATCCTAGATGACCATTGTTCAAACTCATCCAAGCAATTACTTAGACAAGCATCCTGACTAAGTTTGATGACAACTGAGTGAAAAATATGACCGCTAGAGTGTTTATAAGGATTTTCTATTTTTAGCTTCTGTGACCTAGTTTTTCACCCTAGATGACTCATGTTCAAACTCATATGAGCACTTACCTAGACAAGCATCCTGACCAAGTTTTATGATAATTGAGTCAAAAATGTGACCACTAGAGTGTATTATCAAGGTTTTTCTATTTTGAGCTCCTGTGACCTAGTTTTTCATCCGAGATGACCCATGTTCAAACTAATCCAAGCAATAACCTAGACAAGCATCCTGACCGAGTTTGTTGATAATTGAGTCAAAAATGTGACCACTAGAATGCTAACAAGGTTTTTCTATTTTTAGCTCCTGTGACCTAGTTTTTCACCCGAGATGACCCATGTTCGAACTCATCTGAGCTATTATGTAGATAAGCATCCTGACAAAGTTTGATAATGATTGAGGCAAAAATGTGACCGCTAGAGTGTTAACTAACAAGTGTGGATGGACGCTGGACATTCAAAGATCCTAAAAGATCACCCTGAGCTAGCTCAGGTGAGCTAAAAATGTCACAAATCTAGAATAATGAAAGACTGTGACTTAAAAAATTTAATTCCTTATAAGTTTCACAAACCTATAACTGATGACAAAGATTCCACATTTAGTGTCACCATGACCTTGGCCTAATGACCTCAAAATAATAGGGGTCATCTTCTGGCCTACAAAATTAAACAAACCTAGGCACAAACTTTATTAATTAATGAGATGACCCTAACAGTGAAGCAATTTTACTTCTTCCCTGGAAAAATAATTGAATAGTAAAACATGAGGAAATTATGTGTGACATGCAACAATTAATTAACATCATGTTTATCTCAAATTTATTAGATAAATTGAGTCATGTGCACCTTAAATAATTAGAGAGATTTAGATTGTTTCAAGGAGTGTTGTTTATTACAGTAACAGGTATAATTACCAGATACACTTTTCATTTCAGTTGAATAATGTGGCCTTCTGCTTTAAAAAATCAAGTCATAAAACCAACCATTATTTGCCTGTGACAAGTCTGGAGTTCATAAACAGGCCCTTACATTATTTGCTGGAAAAGAAGTACTCTAGAACTTGGCAAATGCTGGTTTTTTCCAAGTGGCACAAACGTTTTCAGTTATAATTTGGTGGATTATAATACATGTATAACTAGAACTATTGCTGAATGAGACTGATACCCCAAACAATGTCCTTGACAGAAGACGACTTGGAAAGGTGGTTAAGGGAATAACTTTAGTGGCACAAATACATAAAAAGAAATTATCTCTGGTGAAAAAAAGACTAATTGTACAGATAATAGTATAAATATATATTGTCAAAACATGTTCGAAGCAGTTACAAATCACTTTTCATTTTCCCAATTTACTAAACATTTTCTAAGTCAATTTTTGACCTTCAAGTGTGGCCTTAAGCTGGCACAAGGGTAAGATGGGTTCTGCACATTGCCCAGTTGGGATGAACATTTGAGTCAAGTTTGAAGAAAATCCTTCCATTAGTATAGAATTTATAGAGCGGACACAACATATTGTCTAGTATTGATTGTACGTAAATTTAAAGACTTAAAAAGGGGCATAACTTTGTCAAAATGCAATACAGAGTTATGAAACTTGACCTGCATATCTTATTTGTGACACCTCATATATCTTTTAAGTTTCAAACAAATACCTTTTCTAGTTTCAGAAATATTCACGTACATGTTAAAATTTAAGAATATTTTCTAAGTCAATTTTGACCTTCAAGTGTGACCTTGACCTTTAGCCAGCACAAAGGTAAAATGGGTTCTGCACATTACCTTGTTGAGGTGAACATTAAAATGAGCCAAGATTGAAGAAAATTTGTGTAGGACTTGCAGAGCGGACACGACATACTCTCTAATATTTGATTGTTTGATATTTGACCTTCAATTGTGACTTTGACCTTGAGCTGACACACGGGCATAATGGGTTCTGCACATCCCCTTGTTGAGGTGAACATTTGAGCCAAGTTTTGAAGAAAATCTTTCAATTAGTGTAGGACTTACAGAGCGGACACGACATACTCTCTAATATTTGATTGTTTGATATTTGACCTTCAATTGTGACCTTGACCTTGAGCTGACACACGGGCAACATGGGTTCTGCACATCCCCTTGTTGAGGTGAACATTTGAGCCAAGTTTTGAAGAAAATCTTTCAATTAGTGTAGGACTTACAGAGCGGACACGACATACTCTCTAATATTTGATTGTTTGATATTTGACCTTCAATTGTGACCTTGACCTTGAGCTGACACATGGGCAACATGGGTTCTGCACATCCCCTTGTTGAGGTGAACATTTGAGCCAAGTTAGAAGAAAATCCTTCAATTGGTATAGGATTTATAGAGCGGACACAAAAATGGAGACGGACGGACCCGACATAGCGAATCCATTATAGCCCCCCCCCCCCCCATTTTGTGGTGGGGGTATAATAAACGCAATGTTTTGACCACTGTATTGAGAACAGTTGTGCTCCAGGAAGCTTATACCCTAGGATAAGATGGGAAAAACTCTCATTTGCTGAGTTCAGGATAACATCTATTCTCCATTGCAGGAGAACTATTCATATAACTTTTGTTGGTCGCCTTTTTATTATCGTACTAAGCTCAGGATGACAATATTTGTTGCTGGTTACAAACAAAACAGAACTGTACAAAATATATGGTTTAAACAAGAAAGTAGAAAATCACATACCAGTCCTTAAGCCATGTTTTCACAATTCATTCCATCCTGTAATTTTCTTCAGTTCTAAAAATAGAATAACACTACTTTAAGCATGATAATTAACTTAAGTGACAGGAAATTACATGTAATTATTTATTTACCTTTAAAAAATAAACCTTCACCTCATTTTTTTTTCTATTGTTATGATTAATTTTTTACCTGCAATATAAATAAGTAAAAATCTAACAATAGTACAATGTTCACAATGTGTAATTACATGATCTTAAATTCTCTCATGTCACCATACAATCATATTACCATATATATATACAAACTTCCATATTAATTCTTTCAAATGCACCATTTTTCCTAGACCTTAATAAGAAATAAGCATAATTAATGTATTTCATTCTTTACATAATTAGATTTTGAAAAAAAAAACACAAAAACAATTTATTCATACTTTGCGTATTTACCATTTTAAGTACCCCAGTTTATTTATGTAAAAAAGTACTTTAAAAGCTTCATGGCTTTAGACTTTTGGGCTTCAGTGGAGCTGCAACAACCCTATCAGTCTTACCTTGGAAGTAATGGTCAAATTATTTACATCACTACATTTATGATAAGTACGGTAATTCAAACCATCCTTATCACTAGTCACCCATTAATTATTCAGAGTTAATCAAGTCAGTCTAATGATTTCTAACCCAAACAATCTATAAATAACTTTCAAATGAATTCACAATTGACTATGCACTGATATCACATTCCAGTTTCAAATTATGTACCACTTTCATGTACTACAATATTAAACAAGGTTAGAATTTTAAGTCAGATATTTTAGAAATGTATTTTCTTATTCAAATGTATTCATGAACATTTAAATGTAACAAACCTATCAATTTTAGTGTGGTATTTGAAGATATTAAGAATGATCTTTTTATGTACTAGTAGAACAAGGGGACCATTGGCTCCTAAGCGCTCACCTGATGACAGACTGTTATTTGTTTAAAAGTAGTGAAAGCTAGTGTTTATTACAAGAATATGAACGATGTTGGTCACTAGACCATACTTCATGCAAAATATATTTTTTAATTTCTGATTTATACATGGTCCTAAATTTCAAAGCTGAAAATCAAAAAACAAGAATGTAGGTCACTAGGTCAATATGTAGGTCTTCAGATATCAGATTTCAATTTTTCATCTGATCAACATGTCATGGCTGTATGTAAAAAAAGAAAAATAGGTCACTAGGTCAAAATCTCTAGAATTATGAACCTTATAATATAAGATGTGATTGATGATAAGGAACATATATTTGAAGTTGATTCCTTATGAAATAAAAAAATTATAGTAAAAAATATTTTACTGCACCAAAACTTTCATCTAAAATCTGGACGCGGACACCGACACAATTACAAAGTCTTACTTCTCCTTATTACATAAAGTAACAGCAAGATAAAATACTGTGCTAATTTTAAATCAATTTTCAGCTTTACATGTAAGATATTGAACAGGAGCACCGCTAGGCAGAGAATTATATGCCTGAAAGTGTTTTTTGTTAGTAAGGATGAAGCATTTAAGACATGGGAATGAAATAAAGTATTACCTCCTTAAAATAGCACTCCTCCTTTATAGCTGAAGAACCTTCATATATTTCCAAAGCACCACCATCAAGTTGTTATCTTGTAAGTGAAAATGCTATGACGGATGGACGGAAAGACGCCAGGGGTATAACATAATATAAGCAAATTTTTTAGGGCATATAATTAATGTATTCAATATAAGTGATCATCCTATGAAGTTTGACAGTTAAACTGTTAACAATATTAAGGTCATTTGATATTGACCTTTGACCTTGTGACCCCAATATAGATATGAATCTTTGATTCAATACAGGCAATCATCCTATGAAGTTTGAACACTGTAAGCCAAATGGAACTTGTGTTATGCTCCAGAAACCACAATTTTCAGTGTTAAGGTCATTGTGACCATGGCTTTTGATCTTATGACCCTTAAATCAATGGGGGTCATTTTTATTGGACTTGGCTGTTCATCCTAGGATGCCTGTATATTTGCATTGTCATTATCATATGTACATATATTGCTAAATAAAGAAATGATGAAATACAAAATAACATTTTTTTCACATTATTGCATATAGATTAATAAAAGAAACCTCATAACGATAAAGTCTGTTTATATCCGCATATGTTTACATTTGGGTACCGGATAATGATTTAACAAACACAGTTTAAAATGAATATGTTTAAGATAACATGCAATTTGACTTTTACACAAGAAACCTGTTTATTTACAAAAACAGTCTTAAATTAACTCATCTTTGTCACTTATAGACAGCTCTCGTCGAATTCTTTTTGATAGTGGAATAGAACTTGGCGCCGATGTCTTTTCCGTGGCTAGCCATTTTTGAAATGAATATACAAAAGCAGCGCAGCATAAAAAATCTTTATTTTTTTATTCATACTGAGTTTACCTTACTAATTCCTCGTGCATTAATATAAAGTAGTAACATCTATGCTTTACAATAAATCAAACTGTGTAAAGAGACAATCAGTGTTCCGTTACCGCTCAGTTAGCATATTGACAAGTGCACAAGGTTATTCACGCCTTCGGTATTGTCAGGGTAGTTATCTATATAATTGACTTCATAGTCCCCTATCAACTGTCTGATTTTCAGTTTTCACAGATTCCGGATTGTGAATGTTTAATGCAATAGTTTAATGAAGGGAAAATCTGGGACTAAATTAATCGTCCGGTATTTAGAGAGTTCCGATGATATTCTCAGCATCCAGTTTTCTCAACTTTCACTGTACTTAAGTTATTGAGCCAAAACCATTTTGATTTCAAGGTAATAGTGACCTTGACCCAAAAATCAATTGGGGTCTTCTTCTCAATATTGACAATCATCCTATGAAGTTTGAACACCGTGGGCCAAATGGAACTTAAGTTATGCTCCAAAAACCACAATTTTCAGTGTAAAGATCATTGTGACCCTGACCTTTGACCCTAAAATCAATAGGGGTCATGTAATGGACATGGCTGTTCATCCTATAAAACTTTACAGCTGTAGGTTGATTAACATTAAAGGGGTATCAATAGGGGTATTCTACCCAATATGGACAATCATCCTATAAAGTTTCAATATTGTAGGCCAAATGGAACTTTAAGTTATGCTCTGGAAACCAAATTGCTAACGGACGTCTGAAATGGAATAAGGGGCCATTTCTTTTGTTATGGCCCCTTACTCTATTGTTACGGAAAGAACTCTATTGCTCTCTTTTGTTCTGTTTACAGTTACTTGGCCCCCTATCTCTATTCGGTAGTACAGACAGACGGACGGACGGACGGACACCTGGGGGTATAACATAATATGCCCAAAATTCAGGGCCTTTAATTATCATTTTATATATATATATATTTTTTATCTTATTCTTCTAAGCTTTTGTGCATGCCAATCACCCATTTAACAACTTTAAAAATTGAAATTAAGAAAATTTACATAATTATACACATACATAAAGACACAAGAAATTAAAGAAATGAGTCATCCACTAATGCTGCATATAATTAAAAAAAAATAAAGAAATTAAAAAAAAAGTTTTATGAGGATTCAAACTTGCAAATTCGGGATAATTATTTGCTTTGCTATCATACTTACCACAAGGTCTTTCTGTTTAGGAGGCACACGGCCATTGATTTTCATGACACACCAAAAGCAGGAAGATGGACTATTTCCAACTTAATCATCATCATACCAATAAGTTAAGCATTGTGTTTACAAATGTATTCATTGCAATTTAAGAGTTATAGGTTAAATTAGTTGTGTCATAGTTTAGCATGATTATTTTCGTGCTGTGTATATGTAATTGACAGGCGGATAGATACACACTTGAGGACTTCACATTGTATTGTACAGGTCGTATTGCCCAACCACCCATCCCTTTAACCATTGTCAGTCACAATATGTTCTGACTTAAAATAGCCATTATTTTATTTACTTACATCAAGATAAGCCAAATGTTATAATATATAATAACTGTAGTCAGTGAGTTAAGCACATTTTTAACTTTACTTGCAGTAAAACTTTTGGTTGTTGTTATCCGTAGATATCCCCATGTTAATTAATAATCAAGATAATAGTTAATTTTAAAGGCTGTGAGGTAATTCAGAGATTTGTCTTCATAAGACATGAAGTGTTATATTTTGTTTTGATTCGTATTAAATGATATTGAAACAATGCGAAGGCCTTCATCCTATTTCAGTGATGTTGTTTTATTCTGTCCCAGACTTAAGGTCTTATAACTCTTATTAGATGATAAATGATTTATTTTCGTTTAAGCGAAGCAAATTAGAAAATAATAGCTGGCAACAACTATTCAGAATATCTCCTAGTTAGTACTTGAAAAAAGAAGAAAAGACTATTGACCTTATCAATTTGTATGCAAAATAGTTTTACTGTTTCAATACAAATGTCTTATTTTTTGTTTTTCAATATCTATTTTCTTAATATAAATTTTATTATCCAAGTTATAAGAGATGTAAAGGGTTTTTCTGCTCTATTTTGTTGCAAAGAAGTTTTCAGAAATTTAGATAAAAGTATTTATGAAGATCATAAACCAGGATTATAATACCTTTTAGTTAATTCCATTTCTATTATACATCAACCAAAATTCAGCAACCACTTTGAATAAATCCAATTTCTAATCAAATTTGAAATTTTTTCGAATAAATCAATAAAATACATTTTTCCTGGGAGAAAATCACCTGATATAACAAGCAACGCCCTTTCATTCCTAATACCAGCTCAAACTAGCAAGTAATTTCTGTTGCTATAGTAACATAAATTTCACCTGTAAAATGATGCTTGCATTGACAAAAGCAAACTGACATCAATGTATATTGTAGTTATATATTGGAAAAATTGACACTGTTACTGGAAAAGTAAATCACACATCTAAATATAGTTCAGACAATGTTGTCATTCTTGTATATGTTTGCATGTTGTTTTGCATGGATAACTGTTGTTTTTTTTAAGTGTGAAGAATCAAACAGTAATATTAATCAGCTTGCTTAATTGTTGATTTTTAAAATTCTTCATTTAAAATGTAAGAAGATAATGTGAATAAAGAACATATCACTTTATTGAATGAGCATATTTATTACAATGCTTACATTTTAGTTTAAAACCCTAACCATCCTCTAAATATATTTAATTTCTTTTTAGGTAACATACACTTACTGAATGGATAACAGTGCAGATCATGTGATCAGACAGCATGAATGTAATTGCTGTTCTTGGTCTGCACAGGTTGAAAGGGTAGAATCTGTTGTGGATAGTAGGCAAAGGGTTAAAGGAACTCCACTGAGCTTTTATGACACAACGGGCTGAAAATTAAAATTGTGTACCAATTAAGGTCTTATCCAATAAGTGTGAATTTTTTTAGGTAATTCCCTCATCCTGTTTCCCAGTAAATCATTTTAATTGTGAATAATAGCCAAAAAATGTCTCTCAAATTTGCCTAATTTGCATATAAAATTGATTTTCAATTAATTCTTAGTATATTTCTTTCCTATCCTTTGCTGATTCTCAATTTTAAATGCTTCATTTGACATTTGTAAGATTTTCAAATTCTATGTTTTTATGCTTTTAGACACTTCAGTGGAGTTCCTTTAACAAGAGCCACCTCCTAGCAGGGACCACACTCAACTTTTTCTTATTCTTAAAGTCAAACACATCAGAGGAAGAATACAGGAGTACAGAATACTCCTACAAAACATTTTTTTCTTGTGAAGGTCAAATCAAGGTCATTAAAAGGTCATTCAAATTTGAATTAATCATCACATCAGTCTTGCCAAAAGTGTTTTTTAATGTCCAAGTATAAATTAAATCCATCAACAACTAGAACTATCACTAAAGGTGAGTCATACCCTCACCTTAACTATTAAAAAAAAACTAAAAAACAAGAGCCATGTTAGCATGGCCATCCCCTGCCGAATGTTTTGCTCATTGGAAGAATATATATGTAGTAGAGCAGAATAATTTAATTTTAAGAGGTCTTAAGTTGGTAATGAAAACTGATGGCTATAGTAATAACAGATTTGAAACCTATGTGAATACTGATGGCTGAAAATAACTAAGGACAATAACTGATAAAAAATGCAGGGTAGGTTATCATTTTTGTGTGCTGCACCCCTCAATGAGATCTATTCACCTATGAAGTCTTAAGTTGATACCTCCAACACTTTTTAAGATAAGCTCCAGAAAAAAACTATGAACAAGAGCACCGCTAGGCGGAGCATTATATGCCCGAAAGTGTTTTTTTTTAGTATTAAAGATTGAATCATTTGTAAGACATTACATAAATTAAATAAAGTATTTCTTCCTTCAAATAGCAATCCTCCTATAAAGTTTGAATATTGTGGGCCAAATGGAACTTAAGTTATGGTCTGAAAACTGTTTTCAGTTTTGAGGTAAAAGCGACCTTGAACTTTGACCTTGTGACCCCAAAATCAAAAGAGGTGTTCTACCCAATATGGACAATGGTCCTATGAAGTTTGAACACTATGGGCCAAATAGAAATTAATATATGTTCTAGAAACTGTTTTCAGTTTTAAAGTAGTAGTGACCTTGACCTTTGTCCTTGTGACCCTAAAATCAATAGGGGTCTTCTACCCAATATGGACAATCATCCTATGAAGTTTAAACATTGTGGGTCAAATCGAACTTAAGTTATGCTCCGGAAACTGTTTCCAGTTTTAAGGTAATAGTGACCTTGACCTTTGACCTTCTGACCCAAACTCAATAGGGGTCTTCCCAATATGAACAATCATCCTATGAAGTTTGAACATTGTGGGCCAAATGGAACATAAGTTATGCTCCGGAAATCAAATTGCTAACGGACAGACGTACGGACGTTCCAACATTTTGGGTTTAGGGGCTACTTTCTTTGTTTTCTTAAGGGCTACTAGCCCATAAACCCTTTGATCACGGAATGAACCTATTGTTCTCTTTTGTTCTCTTTACTGTTACATAGCCCCTAAACCCAAAATGTTTGCTCGGACAGACAGACAGACGGACGTCAGGGTGTATAACATAATATGCCCTTTCGGGCATATAAAAATTATCTAGAAACCATCTTAACAACCTTTCTGACTAGTTTCCAAAATCATATGTGGTCATCTACTAATCATGACCAATCTCAATACAAAATATGAAGACTGTGCACCAAAGGATTATTAAGTTATTGGGTGGACAAGGTATATCAGACAGACGGCCAAGCTGATTCCAGTATACCCCTCTTACAATTTTGTTGTGGGGGAGGGGGGTTATAAAAACTGGAAAAGACGACATGACTGTACCAAC